CTCATTGAGCTCACATCTGATCGTCAGCCCTCATTCTGAAACCATCTCAAGATCCTTTGTAGGAATACTCAGCATGAAATCCCACAGGCTATAACACATCCAATGTCTCGGGCGTCTACATGTACCTATACTTTGGGTGGAGATAGACGCATAGGGGCAAATGGCACCTATAGTTAGCACCAGAAACAACATCCCAAAGATGAATGCGTGTTGGAACCTGCTGCAACTGTGTGATTCAGACATATACAGATGTTGGAAAAGGTGCTGGCATTCATCAGCCTTTGCCATGAACTTATCAGTCTCTTTGATCCATGGTTCTCATCAAGGAGTTTTATAATGTACTGTTTGTAAAGTTTTACCAAACTAGCTCATAACGGTTTGCTTTCCACTTTAAATGTTTATCAAAATTTCCCTTTGTTTTCTCAAACCTCCCAGTTCCCTGCTTGGCTGACCCTTTCCACCTGTCTCTCTCCCCTTCCGTTCCACAGTACAGAAGATGACAGCACGGCTCAGATCAAGGAGATCATGTGCTCATCGCGCTCACACCTTGTGACAGTCCACACAGAGAACCAGAAAATGGATGCGGCGCTCTTACTGGCACTCATGAATGGTGAGTAAACCCCACAGGCAGACCAGTCTGACCTTATTTCAACTTTGCAGTAGTTTTTGTTGAAGTTTTTATTGAGCAGTGTGGAGATTTTTGGTTCTTTAATGTAAGCCAGAGGAGCTATCTGTATGATTGGGCAGTACGACGGTGACATCCCAGAGGTGAGGCTCGCTCACTAAAATGAGCCCAGTCTTAGGCTGTGTCTGAAACAGGCTTTCACAGCTACAACTACATGTAGATCTCTTGTCTGAGTGAAGTGATTCCGCATATTTTCAATGGAGTAAAGACCTAGACCTAGCTCTAGACAACAGATTGGGATGCAGCCTTATTCTGTGCTTTTATTGGTAGCATGTGAAAGATTCTAGATTCTTAAAGTACAGGGGATCTTGTGAAATGAGCCCCTTGGTTTTGCATGCAGCAAGATCTCATCAAGATACTTCCTCTTTGTGAGATGTGAGAAATTCACTTTTTAGGATTTATGCTATGCCTCTCACAAGTACTGTACATTTAGTTTGAGAGATACGTTGTTCACAGCACCGTGAACTACAGTACGCAATGCACTCAACCAGGCAACATACTGCGCTGCGCGTAATGTACTAAAGTCTGCAACTGTGTTGCCATGTTAAGGTAATTATTTTTTTTTGGCTTAAAATAGTGCATCTATCAAGATAATCCTAAGCCCTTAAAGTGAACAATATAGGTGCAGTCTAACTGTAAAGAATCTTGGTGGATCTAGTTCCGTATGCCTAGGGTTTAAGTTCAAAGGTGAACACACTACCTGTATGTTTATTCTATACATCTGCAGCCAATCGTGGCACCAGAGGTCAAAACGAGCTGCTGCTTGCTGTAATCTGGAACCGCATTCACTTGGCAAGGAAGGAACTTGTGACAAACAAGAACTGGTTAGACCAATTCCAAGTAGGTCTTAACGTGGCTTAGAGAATTGTGAAAGGGCACAGTGTTCAGAATATAGACAAAAATGTAATATATAATCAGTGCTCTGAACTGTGTAATTGCCAAGTTTTTGGTAACTGTATACCTTCGTCAGGGCAACTGAATCTGCTTGCTGCTTATTTATTATACTTTTGTCTTATTAACATGGCTAGCTGGCTAATCAACACAGCCTACACCAGGCACTGTGCTTATATTAGCGGAGTTACTTGAATTTTGAAATGATTGGATCTTACCAAGTGCCTTGATCCATTAATATGGGATTCCCATTATATGTCAGAAAAATGAGTAGCACCTAATATTGTGCAGTTATTCACAAACCTAAGGGCACAGTAATTTCACCGTGATGTGATTGATTACTACCTTTTAATAATGATTGTTTTGTTTGATTTTTTTTCCTGTATCAAGTGCTGCTTGTGCTGTTATCAGGCATTGCCTGAGAGTGTTACAGGATTCCTGAGTGCTTCAAGTAATCTTCCGTCATGATTCTCGTGTGTTATTTATAACTGAGAATGGTTTGGCACTTTCAGGAAGTTCAGCTTGCGGAAGCATTGGAGTATGCACTCATTCACAATCAGTACAAGTTTGTAGAATTTTTTCTTGACCGGGACTGCATTGATCTTCAGAAATTCCTGACAAGGGATCGTCTTGTGGATCTCTACCATCAGGTTTGTCTAGCATGACCACAACGCACATGTACTGAGTATGACGTAGAAATGTTGACAGGGTTGATGAGGATGGATTGTTGAGATTTGACTGTTTGGGTTTATTTTTTTAAGAATGGACTTATGTAGTTGTTACAGAGACAGCCTCAACGTGCCATTACGTAACTTGACTATGCTGCCCCTGTTCCTCTCTCCCAAGTCCTTTTAGTCTGTTATCCACTCACTCCCACTTCCTCCTGATTATAGTACATTTATGTTTATGAGGTCATGCAGCAACCCCCCCCCCACAATATTCCTTTGAAAATGCTTCAGACCCAGAACAGACGCTCAAGACCTTCTGAGCTTTTGTGATCGTATGCTGTGCCATGGATTTGACAAATTTAAAGAATTTGCTGTGCACCTCGGAAAGTACGGTACATGTATAGTGACTTGGCCATGCTTAACAAAAAACATTACCTTTCAGTCTTCTTCTTGTCTCTTTTTTGCTTATTAGGTTGGACCTCGGACACTCCTGTATAAGCTGCTTACTGATGAAAAAAAGGAAAATGTTAGTCTGTTTTATAATGTATTATTAATTACCGAAAATGGATTACTTAGGAGACATTCCCATAAGAACGTGCACAAACTTTACTGTCCCGTAATAAAATATTCCCTAATCTGATCTGAACCAAACTTTGTATGTTTTCAATTTAGACCCTAATCCATCATCTCTCAAAATGTGGACAATAAAATTCGGCCTCCTTCTGGTAGATGGGCCATTAAATGTCTCCCTTATGACCGATGTCTCCCTAAAGTCGAAAATTTACCACAAAATGTCTCCCTAATGACCCATTTGTAGTGTATTACACATTCTACATGTGCCTCTACTGACATAATTGGATTATTAGTATCGTACATTCGTTTTCCAAGAATCACTAGATAAAAACTGTTCTGAAGAGCATACTCTGGAGTCTCAATAGTGGTCTTGTTTTTTCATTCCTTCGTAGCAACAACAATATCGTTATGGGGTTATCATGGTCATGTGGCTGTCTTTCAGGTATTATAATTTTGGTTTGTGTCGAGCATACAAATTCCCTGCTTGGAATCCACACACATTTAGTTTTTTTTTTTAATAGAATACTGCAGATAATGCACATTGAAGGGACTGAGATATTCCAAAGTACATGTATCGGTGTATCGATTGCATCCAGTTATTCTCCTTAGTGATTTACTTTTCTTAATTTCACAAATGTCAAATGTCATTGGTTCCTTTTTGTTCTTTCTGTTTTTCGTTATCTACTTGGTGTGACAAGGGTAAAGATCTCAGCAGCAAACCTGAGCTCAACCATGTGGGAAACATCCTGAAGAGTCTGGTCGAGCTGAATAGCTTCAGTCCAAGATACCTGAGAGACAGCATTGATGGTACGTATGCCTGTCGCTTGAGGGACAGAAAGGTTTGCTGAAAGTTAATGAGAAGCTATTTTCTCGGAGGAAAATACTTTTAACGTGTGATATGAGGTGTTGTTTATGTGGTAATCTATATCTGCAGTGTTCTTTGCAGTTAAAGTTTGTAGTAATTGAAACTCTTCAAAAATGTACATGTTTCAGGGATTTTTTTTGTCGGTAGAAGTTTGATGACTGTCACATCAGTTGAAACACTGAAAAGACCTACACGTGTATTATTTCTGTCAGGGAACTGGTGACTTGTTAGAGATGAGATGAAATTCCCAATTCATGTGGCACAGGGTTGGTTTCTCCATTGTGTTCCATGTAGACACGTTTGCCAACCCTTGTCGTGAGCTGTTTATATGGGCTGTTCTGCAGCATCATAAGAAGATGGCCTGGGTGTTCTGGAAGCACAGTGGAGCGTCAATTGGAGGAGCTCTCATGGCCAGCTTACTGCTGAAGAGCATGTCCGGTCTCGTCAAAGAGCCTGAAATTTCACTTGAAATGTTTCAGCATGGCAGGTACATGTACTTATAGGCACGTCATGTAGGTTTGGGTATTTAGATTATCAGGGAGGAAAAAGTAAAATGCTATTTGGGAGAGTGTGGATGGATGTGTAGTTGGTGTTGTAGTAGTTTTTTTAGTTTGAGCTCTTATAAATTCAGTCCTCAGTGCTTAATAAAAAGTAAATATCCTCCACCACATGAAACCTAATTGATTGACTGAATGTCTCGTGTGTCAAGCAGAATTAACCCTCCCATGCAAAGATGAACTCTCGACCAAGTTGTCCTATCAATCAAAATATGACCCCCGTGTTTCCATTTACTGTGGAAAGTCAAGTGGCAGGAATTTCGACTGTGACTGTTACAGCTAAAAGATGGGTTTCTTCAAAGAATGAACTCCCCTACTCTAGGTAGTCATTTATCAGCACTACATTGTTTGCAGAGACTTCCAAGACAGAGCTATCGAAGTCATGAACCGTTGCTACACGGAGAACCAACGGGGCACCTTGCTGCTTCTCACCCAGGTCTTACCCGACTGGGGCAACGTGACCTGTTTGGAGTTGGCCCAGGCCGCCCGGAACAAGCAGTTCATTGGCCAGGCGCCGGTGCAGAGTCTGCTGCGGAAGCTCTGGATGGGGAGACTGTCACCAGACACACACCTCATCATGGTAATAAAAATTCCAAACCTCCATCTGCAGAAAAATCAGTTTTTGAAATGATGCAAGGTTTACCAAGTGGGGATTATAGTGTAGTTTCGGAATACCCTTTGGAACATTTGGCTCACCCCGTTAATTGCATACATGTGAATACATGCTAAAGCATACAAACTTGGAAGCCTAATTTTGAGTTATGGCAAATTCGGAGATCAGACTCACCAGATGTGTCCTTCATTTTCTTCTAAAAGATATGCATGCAGTACTTTGTATATGGGCACTTTCAGAAACTGTACATGAACGGTTATGATGAATCCATTAGGTTCATGTTTGCAATATTGCCAAGCCTTGCCATATTTCTTTAAAATATATTGGTAGTACATATACAGAGTATCTAGTTTCTTTTCTTCTGTTGGCTGATGTACATGTAGCAAAACAAAGCCAACACTCACTGTGGTGAAATAGCCTGTACCTCAATGTGAACCATGTTCACATTGAAATTTTATTCTTCACGTCATGCCCACAATTCCTCTCAGATCGAACTTTCTGCTATTTTTATTATATTTTTGTCCAACCAGATGTGGATTTGTATGCTCTTTCCCATTGCTGCTGTGGGCGTGGTGAATTTCACCCCCAGTGACAACCTCGGCAGACCAACAATAAAGGTGTCAAATAATTTGTTGATCTCTGTCTTTACTTCACATTTGTTAAATTATCCGCTCCGAGTGGAACAAAAGAGGGCTTTTTTTTTTTGTACTCACCACATAGGCATGCCATGATGAACCGCGCAAGTATATGTGCGTTTGACGCAGAGCACGCTTAGTACGCTAATTTACCCCGGCATGTAGGGTTTTTACGTACACGCAGAGCGCGTGCAAGAATCCACAAGCTGTCTTTCTTTTCGCCTATTGGGGGTGCACTTCAGCTTGGGCCGATTGTAAGCTACGTACCTACATGTTTCCTTGAGCACATTTACATGAAGAAGCACATGCACATGTAAATGTCACATTTAATACACTTTCACCTACATATACACCGAACCATCTCTGAAAACTGTCATTTTCAAATCCCACCACGCAAATGGCACACTTGAAAGGACATGTGCTCTGTCACTGAGTACTGGCATTTCTTCCATCACCGACTCAGAGTTTATACAGATTTAGTCTTGATCAAGCACACTCTCAGCAGTAGTGATTGTCACGCTAAGTCCCCAAGGATACATGTTCCTGCCACTATTATGTAACTGGCCAGTGAAATTAATTTTGCTTACTCTGTTGTAACCATTTTTTTGTCAAAGAGAAGTCATATACCTTGTCACACTAATTAATTTTTGTCTTTTCAGGCAGTACCCCTTCCTCTTTCAGCACAGAAGAGGCGTGTGCACAAAATATCCAGAAATCGAGAATACAGGTCGGAGATCGTGTTTTTCTCTTCTTTTCATGATAAAATGCAACGCACGGTTGAACAAAGAAATTGACTGCAGAAGGAGCTCAACCAGTGACCTCTGGCTTTTGAACCTGACGTTTTACAGTTTCAAATTGTGTTTCAGCCAATATTTTTGATCAGACAGAAATTGAGTATGCAGCTGAGGTATTGTCCAGTGTTGTTACTGAATGCTTCTGACACAACACCTAACAAACCAGAGGAGTTAGATTGTCAAAAACCAAAGTTTGGCTGAGACACCCAAAGGAAGGACATGTAGTTGCAGCAGACTTACCTGTGCAGCAGTTTGGTATAATACCAAAAAGCTTGTGACGAGAGAAATTCCAATTGGGCTGCATGCCTTTGCATGTTGTTGGAACGGTACAGAAACTTATTTCCAGAATCAGTGGAACAGCAAATGCTTAGGAAACCAAAATAAGACCGGCTGAAAAGCAAGTGCTTTGAACCAGTTACATACCAAGAAAAGCTGACCCATGAAACAGTGACATCTTCAAGCTTTTCGCCTGGATGAGCTTTGGTTCAGGGTCACACTCAGTAACATAGAGTACAGTACAGTCAAACCTCATCCACAAGAAGTCCTTCAGACTCTGCTAACTACCTTGTAATAGGAATCTTGTATTATCTGGAATAAAAATGATCAAAGACAAAAGGATTGGGATCTAGAGATGTCCTTGTTATAAGCAGAATCTTGTATTAACAGTGCTGCACAGTTATTAACGGGGATCGAATGTATTTTGGTAGTCATGATGCACAAGTGATATGTCGTGCTTTAACTGCATCCCATTGGTAAATTTGTGATTTGGCAACCATACATAGCCTACCGTGTGTGATGTACGTCACTTCATAGTGTGACACAGGCACTGTATCCTCTTCCACTTAGAACTGTTGTAAAGGTAAAAGGGAATCATGCTTGTGCATATGATATACAGTGTAGCAGCAAATAAACATAGGACGATTTTAGATGACCATTCCTTGAGGAGGTTTCTGTGTCATCTATTCAGTACTTTTTTAAATCGATTTTTCAATTGGTTAAGCAGCATTGATGAGTTGGATGGACAGTACAGGTCACTCCCTAAGGGCTTATTCTCCCGACTGACACTCCAAGAGGCAACAAAACCCTCCAGGATAAGCTGGTGGTACAAAGTGAAGTTGTTTATCCAGGCACCAGTTATCAGCTTTAGTTATCACCTTGTAAGCTCTCTTATTCACCTCTCCATTATAGAATTATGAAGATATCTATAAATTGAATTACGTGATTTATCACAGTGGACTAGATCTTATTCGCGCCTGATGAGATTCGCACATGCAGTTGTTTTATAGCTGTAGGGGATTAAATTGCTGGGCCCATTCATAACTCATCACACATAGTGAACATACCACACAAATGGAAAGCTTGCACATGTATGAGCTGGAATGACAGGGCCAACACTAAAGAGACACATATTTTGTGATTTTAACCCTGTGTAGGTATTCCACCTGTTGTTCCTTCTGCTATTTAGCTACATTCTCCTGAAGGATTTCAAGACGACCCAGTCCCCTTTGGAATTCATTCTCATGATCTGGGTGGTCACTCTCTTGTTTGAAGAGCTCAGAGAAGTAGGTTACTGGCAGCTTGTCGTGAAGCTTTCAGCTTTCTCATGTAATGAATATACATGTGTATGTATTAGCTGAGAGCTATGCTTTTCATCTTGTTAAGCTGGTACTCTGTATTTGCAGTTTGTGTACAAACATTAGGGTATTTGTGAGTAGCAGTGATGGAGCAGTCATTGCTGCGTTGCATTTTATAGTTGGTGCAAGAGGACTGCGATTCGTGGAAAGGTCGCTTCGAAGCCTGGTTGTGGGGCTACTGGAACATTGTGGACTTGGTGGCCTTGGTCATGTTTGCCACTGGGATGGCCCTGAGGTACACACACATGCTGACTGTGGCTCGTATTGTTCTGGCCTTAGACCTCATCGTCTTCTATCTGCGGATCCTACAGTTCTTCTCAGCCAACAAGTTCCTGGGGCCAAAACTGATCATGATTGTTAAAATGGCAAGTGCTTCATGTGTTTCCTAGATTCTGTGCAGAGATCTTCCACTGTCTCTGAACTTCATTTTTGTATCACAGGTGTTCCAAACCGCAAAGGCAAACGCTGCAAGTTAACTTTCCAAGCACAGTGGTTCAACTTTCCAGCACCGTACTTCCACTTTCATATGTGTTTTTTTACTCCAACTCACCACCAATCATAGTCAGAGTGAGAAGCCACATTGCCATAAACATCAGCACAAAATGTTCACGCACCGAGAAACTTCATAGGAAATTCTGTACAAAAACGCTGAAGTACAGTGCTGAACAGGGCATTTACCCCTCCATTTTAGAACACCACATCATAGTCATGGTTATCTACAAACCAAACTCTGTTTGTGTAAGTTGAGATTGGAAATGGAAGTGTACTTCATGGTGTGTGCACGAGAGCAACCTCCTGTTGGTCAGAATGAAGCTTTTAGACATAAACCACCTCCTTTCTATGTATGGTGTTCACAAAAATGTGTTTTCCAGTTAAATGACACATAGAAAAGCACTTTGACAGGTGATTTGTAGAAGTTTTGAGGAAGTATGGTTTGGTTTAACTGAAGTGGCACTGAATGTTTCCAACCTTTAATTCTATTCGGCCTCATGCCCCAATGTCAGGAAGGTAATTTATGGCACAAGAGATTACAAGCTTAGAATTTTCAATTTTGTCTGACCACATAACTGTGTGTAGATGAATAGCCAGTATGCTATTTTTGTGTGTTTTGCTGTGTAGACAATGGACATCGTGACATTCATCTGTATCCTGTTCGTCTTTCTGGTGGCGTATGGTGTAGCCTTTCAGTCCATACTGTACCCAAATGAGCAGAATTCTCTGGACATCGTCAAGGGAGTTCTGTATCAACCGTACTTCCAGCTGTACGGGATGCTCTTCTTGGAAGAGCTGCACAGTAAGATCCATTGATAATCCTACTCACTGATAAGTGTTAGACAAATTCTCTCCTCAAGCACAGTGTAACTCTTTTTTTTGTAAGCACAGTGTAACTTTTTTTAATACCTCACGCTTTACTTCAGGGAATGACTGTGACAGCATTGCTTCCAACATGACAACCCCAACCACGCAGCCTTGCCCCGAAAACTCCTGGTTTGGAACTGTTGTCCTGGCTTTCTATCTCTTCATCAGTAACATCATGTTACTGAATCTACTCATTGCCATGTTCAAGTGAGTATTTATGAATCTTTCAGCTTGCAAATTACCTTTCCTGTTTAATTGTGATGATGTAAGAGATTTTCATCATTTCAAATGTACAAAATAGACCTCTGCCTGCCCATAAACAAACTGATTATGAAATATGATTTTTCAGCTACACCTTCACAACTGTTCAAGACAACACCGATACTTACTGGAAGTTTCAGCGTTTCGAACTTGTTAAGGAGTACCACAGGCGCCCAGTACTAGCACCACCGTTCATTGTCTTTGCTCACGTGTATCTATTAGTGAGGGCCTTTCTCCATCATACATGTACCTTCTACAGTGAGAAACCACGGGGCAGCTCAAATGCAATGAGTGAGTAATGCTGAGTGCTTCGAGATTCAATTTCAGTCCAATTAGTTCCTTTGGTTTAAGATGAACTCCTTATGTAGTTGAAGATGTATTGCGTCACGGTAAAATGAAGAATTCTGAAGTTTAAAAAGAATGGTATATTCAATTTCATTTTCACCTTTAGCCTTCTCTGACCAGCTTAAATATTCCCAGAAATTGTCTGAAAACTTTGGTACCAACAATGAATATATTTATGTGTAGATTTGTGATTGACGGTGGAATTTTTTTTTCATATCTTTTTGATTTACAGGAAAGTATATTCACATTAATGATGAACAGTTGTACACAGAATTGTCTTGTTGGGAAATGGTCAAAGGAAGGGACTTTCTTGTGGAGAAGGAGAAGCAGCATAACAAAGACATTCTGTATCGTATCAAGCAAACTGATGAAAGGTAGGAAGAGTCCCAAAACCTAGTCAAAGTCTCGTATTTGGCACAGATTTTGTCAGGGTAAAAAACTGCTACATGCAGATCAAAGTGTTTGGCCCACAGAAGCGATGGATATGAATGGAGCAAAGTTTTTAGCCACACTTACCGGTAATAGACTACAGCATAGTGAGTCTGCCGTTCCGGTCATCAGCACCTGATACACAGTAGCAAAATATATCGAGCGTTCTGTCCATGTTCTGTGTTTTGGTAATGAACATGTGCTTTCTGCACTTATCACAGACTGGAAGAAGTGAATACAAGCAGCAGAGCATTGGGTGAAGATCTAATGCACAGACTTGACACGTTGCAGAGTGTCCAGATACAGGTTGACAGAAGATTGTCAACAATTGAAAAACAGGTAAAGAGGGAAGAATTCCTTTTTTATGCATTATGTAGTAAGAGTGCTGGCGGACTTTCTGTCTGATCTTTCCATCATGAAGAGTTGCTTCCTCGTGTTGCAAACGTGTCGTATAAATGTCATGTTGAAAAATGCTTCAGTTCATCTTAGCACCTCAAGTTTGCCACTGGTGTAACATGTGTAAGGTCTGTTTCATTTCAATGCAGAATGAAATGGTAATTTTGTTGGTTTGTCGTATAGATGTCTGGACTCGAGCAGTTACTGAAAACTCTGTGCAGCATGCAACTGCAAGCAGGAACTGCATCAAGCCCAACAACTGTGTCTGGCCAGTCAGGGGAGTAGAGCCTGATGCCAGCAGTCACCCCCCCCCTAGTGTGACCATTCATCAAGCCCACCTCAACACTAAAGGATTGCAGGAAGTCAGTCCCAGGCCGTCAACATAGCACATCATCTGGGTACTGTGTCTCCACCTTGACCCAGTGGATTGTTGGCATGTGTTATACAGCCAGATTAAAATATGCACTCCAGTTCCACTACATACGTACTGGTATCAACTATCTACATGTAGACGTATGGACATACCAACTAAACAACCTCTAATTTCTTAATTGACATTCCTTTTATGCAAGTTGGCTCTTGTAGCTGCTCAATTCTCCCTTTGCAGGTGCATGTCCTCACACTTTGGTTTCGAGGGCGCGCTGTGCGTACATACAATTTAAATGTATTTCACATGACTATTTAAAGATAAGAAAGGCTACTCACCATTGTGCTCCTTCACCTGTTGCAAATTCATGAGAGTAGAATTCCTATTCCAGCAAATTATTAAGACATTTTCAGTCCATATTTCATCGTCAGATATGCCATCATTAGCTTACAGGTGGTCGTCACATCTTGAAAGGTCAGAATCTCTCCACTTTTACCAGATCTTTCCTTTAACCTCGACTAGCAAAAGGAAGCAAGATTTATTACCTGTCTGACAAAAAAATAACAATTGCGTAATCTGAACAATCTGAATGCAGTACTCTGCAGTACGTTTTATTAAGTAAGTTTGCCACCTCCACATTTTGCTCTCTTGAAAAGTGTTCTGCAGTACAAGTAGCTCCATGGGGAATACCCAAGCAGACCCCACCCCCTGTGGTCGGCTTTCATCATCACCCTCCCCCCCCAACTTGTACACTGAAATATACACACGTGCTTTACATAGCTCTGTCAAGTACACTCGAGGGCCACAAAGTGTTAAGCACATGTATGGGGCACTACCTATGCAATGATGATTGATGTCTCGCTACGTGGGTGCATACTTATTTATGTGCATGGATTCAACGTACACACATTGTACATGTACATGTGTACAGTAAAATTTCGGGAATGACGCTTTAATGCTGTTCAATTAAATAAATTTGGTGCATCGGTAATCACAATAATATCTGAAATGCTCGAAAGTATAGCTATCAGATAAAATGGTTTAATGTGTGTACTGTAACTTGGCTTCTTTTTTCTTAATTTCAGATGTGTGACACTTAAATTACTTAAATTGTAAGTCAAAATTCTACAGATGGCATTTGGTACTTTAAGTTTACTTGTTATGTCATTTGGCTCAAGCTTAAGCCCTAGCCAAAAAACAACTTCATTGCACTGCATCCTGCATAATCTGTGTCAAGACAGATTTGTTTAATTTACTCTTTCAGAAGTAGCACAGAGGTGCTGGTGCAGCTGCATCTGAACGTGTAGGATGCATTACATTGTATCTATTCAGTGTGGGTTCAATTTCTTCCAGTACCTGTATGTTACTGACATTGCCAGTTTCACTTTTAACCCTAGCTTGTGGGGTGTATGTAAACTCTTATTGAAATAGGATTGTAGACTGCTAGGGTTAATGAATATGAGTCCTGAAATTCTTGAATAGGCTCTTTCTCATTCCATTTTATTTTTGTTTTCACCATACTAAATAATTAAGAAATTTGAGAGTTCAATTTGAATAAAATCTGGGACACTGAGTTATCTGATTGCACATTAACATAATTTGAATTCCCCAGACTGAAGATACTGTTGCAGTACCTCGTAATTCCGGGCAAGCTTTTGCATAGCGTCCACTGTCTCTGGAATGGACTGGTTCCTTTGTGCCCTTTTTATCCATTGAAAACTGTGTTCTGAGGTATGTCTTATGTAACTAAGGAAAAGCTTGCCCTGAATCATGAGGTATAGCAACAGTGTCTTCAGCATGGAGAATTCAAATTATGTTCACATGATTTTAAAGAACTCAGTGTACCAGACTTTATTCAAATTGTACTCACAAAAGGCTTATTAATTTGCATTCAATCATCACAAAGCGTATGATACGTGTTTGCATTAAACTAAATTGATGATTGAAATTTGTACTTCCCATTTTAGTTCATGCATATGTTTGCTTTATGAATTTTCAAATGACTGCAGACTTAAATTTAGTTTATTTTTAGAAATATGAGAATTATATGTACAAAGCATGTGTTATCACGTGATTTTTGATGCAAAATGATTTAAGACTTATATTTTTATATAAAGATTGTTTAAATTGTTTTCTTGTTCCATTACTGAAAACATGAAGTTTGAACATATTATATGCAAATTACAGATGTAATTTACACATGCAAAAGTAATATAATTCACAAAAGAGCATGCAGCCTAAAAGGCAGAGCTGATGAAAATTTATTGTAAAATATGCAGTTAAGTGGATTTTGTCCACAGAAGAATGATAAGTTTGCCTCAGAGTTTGACCTCAGCATGACCCAGGATGCTGTGTAGCCATGTTCACACATTGTGAAAGAGATATTTTGTTAATATTGCCAATTTTTTGTACTTATTCAAAAACACTACATGTACAGGTATACTTGGAAAAATGCGATTTAAATTTTAATGACTAAAACTGATGCAAATTTTGGTGATTTAAACAATAAAACACACAATACCATTTTTTTTCTGCACTGATATGAAGTGCAAAATATGAAATGGTAAGGCAGTTCACTGGGGACGAAAGCTGCCAATCAATCAATCAAGAAGAGCATACTGGCTCCCATTCCTTGTAATCAATCATTCTTTCATTTCTCACTGTAACCTGTGCAAATCAGTAAGGGCTAGAGTCTTATGAGAGCCCAAAGGGCCTGTCAGAAATGTCGGGTTAAAGTCAGTGAATGTGTAGGCCTAAGTTCAAGTACCTCTATTCTTCAACATGTTCAAGAAAGTCCATAAATACTCTCTGGATTTGAAACTGCATTCTGATAATTTCTGTCCACCTATAGATGAAGACTTTAGAAACCTGACTCAAAAATGGAAACAATTCAACTTCAGATCCTTAGTTGGCGCACTATAACCAGAACCACTCAGTACCCACGCATATAAATCATACATGTAACAAATCTGTTGTGAATAAAACACGTGTTCAACTTCTGATGGGACCATATCACTGGATTGTTATCTAAAGTAATAGAAGCAATGCTAAAGACAAAATTAATTATGAATAACGTTACACATGGACTACAGTAACTTTTCGTGATCATACCTTGTACCGTTCAGGGCACACATGCGATATGCGTGAGCCCAAACATGCCGCCAATGCATGGATGATGGAGAATTAATTACATGCATTGTAACACCGGCCCGCGCGGCGGGCTGTGAGAAAGGGCTGGAAGTTATAACCAAACTTGATCAGTTTTATCCTAGCGGCTGCCTGAATGCACGTGTAGTACAGAGGTCGGTGGCTGGAAGCTGCTGCTGCAAAAAAAAAAAAAGTGCATACAAAAACACATAAAATTATGTGTTGGGAATCGAACAAAGATGTAAACTTACCTGAAATGGCTGACAGACTGTAGGGCGCACATCATCGCCACTTATTACTATTGCGAAAAAACGTGCAGTTGGTGCCAAAGAGGCAAACTCCGTTTAGGCCTATTCGCACATATAAAATAATAGCATGAAGTAAGAAGGCTGTGCCTTTGTTTAATGCAAGACTTTAAAAACACTTTTAATTCGTGTCTAATGAACTTCATCTTCTTCTTCACTTGTTTATCAAGGACTCACCGGGTACAAGCAGCGGGCCCGGAGTAGTTATGGGTAGGCTATAATAACCATTTGGCACCTAGCTGGTGCGGTAATGGTAATGTTGTATTCCGAGCCACCTGGAATCTGCACCCCAAATAGGCTAGAATTTCGTGTATTTTATTGTCATTAATGTTCTGTTCTTTAGTGATTTTTTGTATGCTGATGAAGGACACGGTAGAACGCCAATAAGTACATGTATGTCTTTCGCGCACTTTCAGTGAGCAAACTTTGGGTTTTAGCGAGGATTTCAGCAACAGCGCCCTCACTCACCAATAAACGAGTGGTTTTTTTTATTCATCATTAAAGACGTTTCCATCCAAAAACCATAAAGAGGTGCCAACAGTATAAGAGAAATGGAAAGTTGCACAAAAACATCATTCGAACTTTCCAGCACTGATGCGCAGGTATAACTATCACCGTGACGAGGGTGTTTTGCATGCAAGCGCGCCGCCGCACCGCGTGCACACGTACGTACGTGCACACCACCGCCAGCGCCCTCTCTGCTCGAGAAGGCTCCGACCGGCCCAGCCCGCAAGTTAAGGAAAGGCGCGGCGGCTATATGCATTTACTACTACTTGTGGTGACAGTAAATCCTGCGCTGCGTAATTTGTCGCGTCATGAATAAGCCATTCATGCACATTCTTTTCATATTGAAATTCCATTAGTTTCTCATCTGGAAGTTCCTTTCTGCTGTGAACCAAACGGTATTTCGTGGTGGCTGGGGGGCCTGGTCCTGTCGATTGCCAGGTGAGCCTACTTAGGCCAACGTTAGGACGGTAATGTCGCAGAGAAACGGTCATACCGCAAGCAGTCGCGGTGGCGCTGACGGACTGACTAACTCAGCCATCGCAATGGACAACTACGGATCGACAGATGAAACGACCACTTTTGCCAATTCTGAGTACCTGGTGAGTTTGATCGTAGCTTCATTCAATTGTTGGCTTTATCCCGTTCAATTCCCCAGTTAAGCCTAACCCCAAAAGGCATGATGAGGGGGTGTATGGCACATGCACACATTCCCGCAATGGGGCCGGGATTGTAGTCCAAACTCTTGATCAAGGAGTTCACTTCACGCGCCCATACTCGTACACGTAGGGCTTTCGCTTGTAGAAATGTAGACCTGAGCCTGCCTGTGTGTACATGTACACTAGCCCGAGTACATGGCACTTTTGGACCCTACAAATCACTTTTTTTTAATATTTGGACATGGTCTGGCGATATATGGTAGGGTCCAAGCATGGTGCTTTGACCATGGAGGAAGGAGGGGATAAACACATGGCAGTAATGTGTGTGCGCGAGCACGACAAGCTGGTTCAGTTTCCCCTCCCCCATTCCTAGTCATCCCCCACATGGACATCACTTAACACTTCATCTGAGAAAAAGTTTTTCCAAGTGAATGCGTCAATATAAATTTCTGTGCTCCATATAACTTTTTAGGACGTTGTTACTTTCTGATGGCTAGTACATGTACACGTACACGTACATGTACCATTTAAATCATTGCAAAGGGAAAATAGGCCCAGTGATCAGGTGATGTCTGTAATGCATACATGGAACTCTCACTGTTAAAACTTATCTGAAATGGGCGTTTACATTCAAGGAAAAACTACATCCACTTGAGGTTTAACTTTCACTATCATCAAAAAGCACTGCATATTGGATAAAATGTATACTGTCTGTGTGTTTTCGCATCAAACACATTTTGGGGGTCTCAGTCGTGAAATTGTAGCAAAGAGTGAAATCAATCCAGAAGTTAAGATTCACTGAAATAATGTTGCATACTTCCCACAAACCATTTTACATGCACAAAGTTAAAAGAGCCTTAACATGCCACCAAGGTTATGATACGATGCATTGGAATCTGAGATTTACAAATGTACAGTACACAATCTACTAAATAACTTTTTACAGGTAGCCAACTTGGATTTGATTGAAGCATTTACAATGTCAATGATAATCATCTCCTTGCCCTCCAGTGTGTGTTGTGTGTTCAATACGGTCGTTTCTCAGTAGTGTGCCACCGAGAGTTTGCAACGCTTTATTAGCGCATCACAATGCATGAAATGTATCGACCCAATGTGTGTTGGAAAGGGTCTCACATTTCGAGCATTGTGAATGTCCAACCTGTCACCTGTAGGCCCCTATATAGCATTTTTTTCAGAGATGCAGCGACTTCTAAACTTTCCCTGGTTTGCGTATTGTGCTTGCAAAATGTTAGTTTGAAAGGCCACACTTGCACTGTACATTTTAGTTTATTTTTGGGAGATTTCAGTTTTCAGTGAGACATCAGAATTTCAAAAATCAGAAATTGACCAAAATTGAATTTCCTTTCCCATGTGCCCTCGGAAAAAAATAAAGATCTATTGTTCAATTGAGATACTGGTATTTAAAAAAATTGCCCATAACCTGTTAACTCTTTTAAAAACTAGATGTACGTGTAAAAATAGCAAAAGCTATTTAAGCGTCTGTCAAACAGGTGGTCATCAACATATAAATTTGTCAAGTATTTTCCTTTGAACACTTTTTGTTAAATAGGATATTTTGGTTTTGGAAGATGGAGTTTTACCTGTTTACTCTCTAAGAGACTTTGAGAAGGGTAAATTACATGTACATGGAGGAGAAAAAACCAAAAAGTTTAATTTTTGTCTAAACATGGTCAACTATATACATGTGCCCTAGCCCAGGTTGGACGCCAGTCTCCCTAACGCAGTGTAGCCAGGGAGTCCACCTGGGCTACCTACCACAAAACCACTGTACCTGGGATAAAGCAAAGCAGTTTGTACAGTAAGTGACTTTAGTGGCCAAATAATGTCCACCAGAAAATTCGGGATGAATTTGTATTACCAAAAAAATTACAAATATTAGAAATCCTGTGTGTTTTTGGAGGGAAAGGGAATAATTAAAAAAACATATGTAACATGCACTTGTATTGGTATGGTGCATATACACATACATGTACATGTACATCCATGCACTGCATAAATTTAATAACATATTGTACTTTACATGTGTATCTAGTGCAAGTGTTTGTTGATTGAAAGGATCGGTTATTGGCATTCGTGAACAAAATTGTACTGTCTATTGGGCCAATTTTCTATGCTCGAGAGAACTTGTAAGCATATGGCAGTATTGGCTTTCATTTTACATGTACATGTAGGCCTTCTGGATGAGTGGTTTTGTATATTAAAGTCAGTGCACATGTACATGTAGGCCTGGTTGTTATATTGGTTAACAATAATTAACGCATTCACAGAGGGTTGTATCTGACATACTGTACATGTATGTACTATGAACCTACTGTTAATCATGTGCGTTGTAAATATTTCAGTAGAGATTAGTGATGTTCATACATGATACGTAAAAATGGGTACAAATTAAAATAATAATGAAGTTTCAGTAGGTTTAAGGATCTTCCTTAAAATGCTACTGGCAGATTGTAGGGCTACATTTACATCTGTGTTCTTACTTGGATAAACAAGCCAAAACAAAAGTACATGTACAATTATCATTTTCATGAATATAATACCAGTACATGTGTATTAGGCATGACATGTAACCGTACTCACAGGTACGCATGTAGGTACCTCCTTACGTACATATATTTGCACCAATGAATAAGTATTAGCCTATGTGCGCTAACCTTGCATACGTACATGTATCTACAGTAGTGTGGACTTGTGAACAAAAGATGTCCACACGATGCAGGAAGGGACTTACATGTACATGTATGTACGTTCTGCGGACCTACCCGTGTCCACAGGACATTTCCCCTTCTCTGAAAAAGAAGTTAAGAGACAATTTGGGGTTAGGGTCATCCATCATGAAAGGAAGAGGAACAGTCAAGGACAACTTTTTAACAAAAATCCAGTTGAAAATTGTGTTCCTAGTTTAAGAAAAATGAGTATTTTCATCACATTTCCTGAACTGCACGAAAACAAAGGAATATCCACACCAGGCACCTGTACGTGAATGTAACATAAGTAGGGGTGTAGGCGTGGCATACATGTACATACGTGCAGTGTGGACCTCGATCTGCACAAAAGAAGTCCACATAATGTTGGGTGCGATGGTGTTGTAGGGACTCGCACACGTACACACAATGTTTTCCCCTGTCTGAAAAAATGAAGAGGAACAGTCCAGGAGATCATCATAAAAAAATCCAGCTCGAAGGAATTATTCTACACTGTAGTTGGGGAAAAAGGAACATATTCCACAAGATTCCTTAATTAACCCTAACCCCCAAGGCTCCTGCACTAGAAAGCATACTGAACCTCACAAAATCCAACATGTACTTGTCTGTGTACTTGTACATGTACATGCAGGTTAGTGTACCAAATCTGATAAACTCCAACAGAATGAG